TATATATATATATATATATATATATATATATATATATATATATATATATATAATTATATGTAAATATATAATATATAATACATATATATAATATATATAATAAATAATATAATATAAGTAAATATATAATACATATATAATTATGAATATATAGCATTTCATATTCTTTAATTGACTTTGGTTTGTGCGTGTTTTATTAAAATAATATGTTCATAAATGAATTAATATTTCTATAAATAAAAGCTCTGTCATTTTGTTGAAAAAAACTATTCTGTTTAATAATAAAGCGATATTATTTGAAACAAAATATCCTAAAAGCTTTAAGAATTTTTTATTATTGAATAAATTGTTTTACACCACTTTTTGTTTAGATTAATTATAATAATATTTCGTTGAAAATCTGAAAGCAGTGATATAATTACTAGCACACTAATATTCATTATACTCACACAATAATTTGTCGCATATCTAATTTTGATCCATCATTTCAATGTTTGCGAGTAAATATATTATAATGTTCTGTGAGTACTATAACAGTACACTATATAAGTCCTAAGAATTTCGCTGAAACAAATAAGGTCGTCACGTGCCGCTCGATCATCAAACTTAAAGAACGTTAACGTTGTCAGAACATGTATAGCTGATCGCTTTATATAAAAAAGTTTATATTAACAGATTAGTTCGTTTAAAGTGACCTCTATAGTACATTACCGAAATACTTATAATTTTGTCCAAAATTACAATAAATTTAGTAAAGTATTTTTATTGATAAAATTTGTAGCATATTTTAAATCTTTTAACAAGATTTTCTTAAGGAATGTATCTTATTGTTTCCCTACACTAATGAATATTTCGATAATTATGTATAATAAGGCCTTTTTCGAATTTTGGTATTTTTTTTATAGCTCTTCTGGTAAAAATATTTACTTTGATTCCAACATTGATAATCAATCGGGGGTGTCCGAAAAATATGCAAGTTATATATTGTTTTAACTTTTTTTTAACTTTTTTTTCACTTGACAAACGTTGCTGTTTTCTCACAATATAAATAAGTTAATGACCTTTTAATCACATTATGTAACTGCAATATCGAACGACTAGCAAGAGACTGCGCCTCTGCACCCGCCCAAAACTAACTTAACCCAACCTATCGTCACATTAACCGTCAGTTATTATTTATTAAAAAATTATTAAGAAAAAAAAGTTAGACACTTTAATAAACAATGATTGACGCGTAATGTGACGATAGGTTGGGTTACGTTCGTTTTTAGGGGGGTTCGGGGGCGCAGCCTCATGTTAGTCGTTCGATATTGCAATACTTACTGTACTAGTACATAAAAGACAACTCCACGAACAGACTTTTCGTTGCAATGACAGGTTTCCTAATCTATCATACATAGCATTTTTAACAATTAATTTCTCGGTTTGTAGAGCCGAGAGACGATTTTAACTTTCAGATTCGGCTTCTACGCATCAAAGTACATAAGATAGGTGAATTTCAGCGACATCCAAGGTCAGTAACTTGTTTAAATTGTGGGAAAGCAGCAACGTTTGACAAGCGAAACATTAAAGTGAAAAAAAAGTTAATATATAACTTGTATATTTTTCGGACTCTCCCGATTGATTATCAATGTTGAAGTTAAAATAAATATTTTTACCAAAAGACCTGCAAAAAGTACCAAAATTCGAAAAAGATCTTATTGTACATAATTACCAATATTTCTAGTCCGTCATAACGGTAGATTCAACTTATCTTGTCAACAACATTTTCCATACAAACATATTCGTATTCGCTATTAGTGTCCCTCGTATTATTACTGATCAAGTATCTATATATAATCGGTATAAATATTTCTGTTACACTTCGTGAGTTGTCGAGTTTGAAGTTCTCGCATTATTTTGAAGTAAATATTACAAACAAAATAATCATAAACGATAATTACTAAGATGTATCGTGATGTATTCACAGAAAGTAATACCTTTTAATGGACCATACACAGAAGACAAATATAATCAGTTTTTCAATCCAAACATTTGTCATGTTTGCAAACTGCCCAGCAGAAACTTAATAACATGTAATCGATGTTATATGATTTCTTACTGTTCCGAGGAGCACCAAGAGATACATAAGTATTCACATTTGGAGATTTGCAGAGTTTTAGCAATTTTAATAACAGACAAATCGCTTCGGGAGAGATATTATATCTCGGAGGAATGGATAGAATCACGGAAGAATATTTTTCCTAAAATACTAGCTATTCTATCACGTTGTACATACCGATACGAAACAGAGATGATTATATGCGCAAAATCGTGTTTAATGTGTCACCAACAAGTAAACATCAAGCCCTGCAACATTTGCTACTCAGCCAATTTTTGTGATGACCATCGAAAATATTCTAAACTAAAACACAAGGATTACTGCACTGAGCTATTGCTTTTTTTAAACATAAATATAGAATATATTAACGAAAAAATAGGACATAAATATCGACACAAACTACAGTTCACCACATTTCCCGATGAGAAACCTTATCATAATATTTTTACATTTGTTGATAACTATGTACCCAGATTAGGTTCGGCTAAGCTTGTAATGAAATTAAGCTTCAATATTTTAAATTCTCACTGGAAATTTGTACAATATATATTTTCTGATATTGTATCCGGTCCGCTGACATTATATTACGCGTTACAGGAATTAAACTTATTACCTCTTACATGCACTGCAGGTAAATACGTTGTTCATCTTATAGATGCAAATAGAATAGATGTAATGCATTTGAAAATTTGGCATATTCTCTTACATGTATTGAAAATAAAAGAACTGCATATTGTATTTATAAAATCGCCAATATTCGAATCGTGCGATCTAGAGTCTGTGTGTAGTGCGTGCCGTTACAATAGGAAGAAACTTTCTATTAAAAGTGTGTCAGAGACGTATTACGATTATGTACGCTTAGAATCATATGAGCAACCAAATGTGATCATGCTACCCGAAATAGAAGGTATTCTCGTAGAAACGTGGTTTGATTCCATAACAACAATAATAGCGCAAGAGTGTCCGTTACTTTTAACCACCGATTCAGAAGATACAGCGCAAGATACTATAAATAAGATAGAAGAAGTAATAGGTGCAATCAGAGAACGATTGCACAGAAAAAATAAATTCCACGGTTGTACACCATATAGAGACTATGTAACTGGAGGACTTTATTACCGAAATGCACATTTTATTATGTATTCATGAATCTAAACTGGGTATAACTAGTCCAGTCAAAGTCTGAAGATAACGTGTTATTTGATCTCATTTTCATTTTAGTATATTTGATGATACTCGCTTCTTAATAAAATTCGGGAATAAGTAATACATTTTTACTGAGGCATATACTCAGACATAAATTAATAGTTTCTTGTTTTTTCAGAATATAAAAAACATGTTATATATGAAGTAATAAAATTTTTGCCACATACAAAGTATCTTACAATTTTACAAATTGTCGTATGCCATGCAGTAGTTATATGTATTATATGCAGATTATTCAATACTGAGTTAAGTGTAGTCGACTTGTAAGTCTCTTCTTTATCGTCCGTGTTCTGCAGTTGATAGGTGATATGAAAAATTATAACACATTTTATATACTTTATATTCTCTATATTGTACTTTGTAATCAATATTCATAACTCATTACATTTACTTTTACATTTTAAATTGTCAAAATATATATACAAATACTGAAACATATCTGAAACTATTGTCCGAGCAAAAATATATCTAGTAGAGCAGATTTCAAAACTAGTAACTAGATAGTAATGACTAGATAAATTTTCTAGCCAGTCACTAGCTCGTAACTGGCTAAAAATTCTTACTCAGTCTTTTGAATGTCAGGACTGTCTAGTAACTATACCAATTATATAAATAGTGGCTAGATGGAAAATATTATACAGTAACGAGATAAAAAATCATCGGTAAATCCTGAATAGAAATTGGATATCAGAACTGTCTTCCCACTAGATAGTAAATTTATGTATAGAAAATGACGATGTAATACACAAATTTACTCTCTAGTGAATAGACAGTTTTGAGATCTAATTTACATTCTGGATCGACAGTACATTGCTACTAAACAGTTACTAGACAGCGTTTGATATTCAATTTCTATTCATGATTTACTGAATCTTCCATCTCGTCACTGTGTAATCTTTCTTTTGTTTTCATCTAGACATTAGATAAAAGGGCATTGAGTAAATCATATGTAGCTAATATAAAACGTTTACTACCGACTATAGTAGTGGTCTAGCAGGTAAAGTGCCAGACTCAATAGCCAGAGGTTCAAGTCCCGAAGTATAAAATGAATTTTTCCAATAGAATGGAAACAATACGTAATGAAGAAAAATTACAGGAAACCAAACTCCATTAGATCACCTCTCCTAAAGAGAGAAAGAGAGAGAAAGTGAAATTATCGAAGAAAAATAATTTTTTCGTTTTTACTATCTACTCACTGTCTAGTGCAGGCTAGATAATTACAAGTTATTATTTTGTATCTAGGTACTAGCTAATTTTTCTAGTACAGCCACTAGGAGAAGTGAGCGTTACATTCCTAGCTAGTAGCTAGCAAGTACTACTAGCTAGTAGCAATGTAAGACTCAACTTTTCTGTGTCATTACTAAACAATCACTAGATTCAATTTTTGCTCGGATAGTGTCTTCCGAGATATCATCTATTATTTTTACCTAAACAAAATATATTCATCGCCGCCAGTGAAATATAGATCTTTTAATAGAATACATTCATTAGTAAATATATATTATGTTTCTCTCTCCTGTTTTTGTAAAAGAATAGGATATGTACATTTTGTTTCAATACGTTTTGAGCACTTTTTCGATGCATTCCTGAATATATCCAGTGATCTAATAAATGATAAAATTTAACTTTATGTAATTACTTAAAAAGAAATTCTTTTATTGTGTAGATTGCCGACTATGTTCTAAAATTTATCTGAGAAAAATAGTTTATACTGTATTGAAATAGAGCATATATGTGATTGTATATTAATATCCGTTATAAAGGGCGTCCCGCCACTACCGCATTACCTCTTAAGAACGGATTCCTGAGGTAATTTGAAGAAAAAAATCCTAATGCAAAAATGTCGAGACTATAATACTTTTCACATTACCAACAATTAAAGTTAATCAATTATATTGACTATAGTATGCGCGCTCAGGTATGACACAACACCCAATGGTACAGGTGCATTCACAAATACAGGTCCCTTTTCCAAATATTGATACAGAAGTTCCATATATGCAACAATATATGTAATAATTATCTGCCCTTCCTATCATTTAAATAAACATATCGCAAATAATAACAATCTCGTCGAAAATATTATAAATAAAATATCACGCAATACATTTATAAGAATCAATAAGCTGTCACACATTGGACATTTCTTTCAGAGATTTACAACTCATTTCATATCTTATGCAAATTCTCACTTATCTGCATCCACCTGTATCATTGTGTGTTGTACCGAACCTGAGCGAGCATACTTTAGACAACATAATTGGTCAAATTTTATTGTTTATAATTTGAAAAATATTATAGCCTCGATATTTTTACATTAGGATACTTTTCTTCAAATTAACTCAGGAATCCGTTCTTAAAAGATAATGCGGTAGTGGTAGGACACCTTGTACATCGCCTACTGATGTATCCACGATTAGCAGTAAATATAGTATAAAACAGCTTTCTGGATACATTATAAGCATAATGCTGCAATTAGTCACACTGAAAGGAATATATTTCAATATTTATTTGTGAGATAAAAGTTATTATGCGGAGGAAATAAGGGTATAAAAATAAATTTATTGCACAAAAATAAATTTTATGTTCCTCAAATATTTTCATGTATCATTTTTCAGTGCATTTACTAACAAGTCAGAGCTAATTGGCATCACTAATTTCTATACGATCGCTGAAGTCAAATAAACCTGGCTGTTGTCAGTAAATAAGATGAATGATCGTATCACCGAATAATCAAATATTTGTATAAAATACATAGGGTAAAGCGGGATAATTTAGATAATTTCAAACTGTTTGAACAATTTCTGGAGAAATAATAATTTTATCCTTACATTGAATATGTAACAGGAAACTCACATGTCTAAGAAGTATTTACACAATATATAAAAAATTACTCTTTAAATCTTGAGGCGTAATGCCATTATCCAATTAACACGTACAATTTTAATGAAAATCAACTTTGAGGGGCAATTCGGATATCTTGAGGGATAATTTGAATAACATTAAAAATGAGCATTAATTTGATAACAAAAACTATATCATATATTTAAATGTTGTTCTTTGAAAATTTTATTATACTTTCAGATCAAATTAAACATAAATTCGAAAAACATATAATAAAATTGAATACAAAATAGAAAGTCAAAGTAATCATGTTAGTCCCATATATAATATTTTAAATACAACGAACATAAATAAACTAACATTTACTAAAATTGACTTTATAATTGTAATTAATATATAACGTTATATATATATATATATATATATATATATATATATATATATATATATATTAATAAATAACGTAATAATTATAAAGAATATTATAATATTATAATAAAAGCAATATTCTTTTATATTAAATTGCACTTTTTAAACAAAATAAAATTTAAGATTTAATCTAATTTAATCTTAATAAAAATTTAATCTATTTATCTTAATAAAAATTAAGATAATTAATAAAAAAAATAATATTGTTATATAAAAAATTCATATACAGGGGACAAATGAACTGTTTCCCTTCGGCATCAACGTTTTGCTCATGATACCATGCTTTGTAGTGGCAACGGATCCAGTTCCCTTTTTTTATAGAGACATTTAAATAGTAGCTGACTTTAAAATACACATATAAAGTCAAGTTCTTTCTCAAACGCTATTAAACACCGCAGGGCACCCAATAGAAGTGCGAGGGACTTCATTTTTATCATATCTTTGTCTTTGATTAGATTGAACTTTTCAATATAAACTTTTGTAGGAAACGTGAAATAACTGTGCAGCTCTCAAAATGGACATCACACCATCAATAATAGATATAATGGCTTGCCTCATACTTTCTTTGTTCCAATTTAGTCTTTTTTTCATAATATCTCACCAGTTGAAATAACGAAATGTGTCTTGAAACATATTTGAAACATATATATTAAGGAACTGAGTGCGTTATCCAAATCGCTCTATAAAAATATATTCAAATTACCCCTTGCGCCGATATAAAAATATTGTAATATAATACTACAATAACTCAACAAAATGCACTAGTCGATCACTAATATATGCGGGAAACATTTTTAGGATATATTGTTATCGTAGTCTTTACGTAGATTTTATAAAACTTAAGCTAGCAGAATATATTCTTATAAACTACAGTAACAACAGAAGTTTCCTTCCTACACTGCTTAATGTAAAATACTACACAGATCCTCAGATTCACAAATATTCTTTAAAAGTTGTATAAATATATAGACCACAGTATCTTCCTTACTGCGAACCTCAAACATAAAACAAAGCATAAAATTCATATTTTTGTGAAATTGTCACAAACGCTTAATATTATCCAAATTACACTGCTATTCAATTTACTCTGCTGTACCCTACTTTATATAAATATATAAAATACATTAATAGGAAGTAAAAGGAAACTAAGAGCCACACAGAAGAAAAAGGTTTTCTAATATATGGACAACTAAAAATATTAACTGCATGAGCAAATTTTCTTGCTCTCATAGCAAAGTTATTTAGTTGTGATAGCTAAAAGATTCTTTTAACTATCACAACTAAATAACTTGCTATGAAAGCAAGAAAATTTGCTAATGCATTAAATAATTATAGTTGTCCATATAATAGCAAATCTTTTTTTCCATGCAGGCACAGATCTAAAAGTGCAATCAATATAATACAATATTTGTTAAACTCAATCAATTTATTATGGTACATAAAATTCTTTGCCGAGAATAATGCACAGTAATGTTGTTTATAAGGTTAATTGTTTGAATTGTGATAAGTCATATGTAGGTCAAACAGGTAGATTGTTAAAACAAAGAATTTCTGAGCACCGCAGATCCCCTAACAACAATTTGTTTTTAATTTCAACTGTTAAAGCACATCAAATTGACAATAACCATAAGTATGATTGGGAGAATGTTGAAATGCTCGACAAGAAGGTTTCCTACTTTAAACGTTTGATTTCTGAAATGCTATGTATCAAAAAACAAAAAGAAAAAGGCTCAAACAACCAGACAGACACGGAACTTCTTAGATAGCGGTACTCAGATATTCTTATTATATTTAAATTTTTATACGCGTATGCGGTTTACGACTCCTCTATATAATGTCTTGCAACAGTCTCATTCTTATTATTGCTGTTTATTTCTAACTCACTCTACTTACTTCGACAATGTCGTACAGTAAATAGATTTCCGCATATCGAAATTGGTCCCAACATCTGTTGCTTAATTTCTTACAGCATATAGGTATTTATATTCTTATATATTTTCCTCTGTGTTCAAATCGGTTATAATTGTGATATATTTTTATATATTTTTTGCATATTTGATTTTTCATTTAGATTAAGCAGTTTTTTATCTGCCTCAAGTATTAGTTTATGTTTGTATGCATGTGCCGAATTAAGTTCTAATTTGCATTTTTTAACTTTCTTTGCGTGCCTTTTTTAATTTCCGATTTTCCGTAACAGTTGACCTTTGCGCTTAAATTTCTTTTCCTATCATATTTTTTCTGAAGAGGACTCAAATCGGATTGAAACGTAAACTGATCTTGCAATCTCTGTTATATTGTATTATATTGATTGCACTTTTCCAATTATGCCTAGCTCATAATTGCTTCTTCCTTTTATCTCCTATTATTGTATCTAATACGTTAGAGCTATTTGTTATTATTTTCACTTTTATTTGTATAAAATATCACGGAATAAGACAGACACACGTGAAGATCTAATAACTGATCATCAATAACAGGAGAGAAGGAATGTCAAGTTTCATAAAATGATTTGAACAGAATTATTAAATATTTTTTAGCAAAATATGAAAATTGAATGAAACAATTTTATTCTTGATTCATATAATAAATATATTTGTAGTGTGTGTGTATGTTAATCAATCGTATTTGTTGAATAAAAAATGTGTTTATTAGAACTTTTCCAATAGACAAATTTCTTTAAATTTAATAAGATGCATTAAATAAAAAAAATCTTTGCAAGATCCGAATAAGAATTTGGTGAATGCGTTGTTAAACATTATACAGGTGTTCCAGATTCACGTCTGTATCGTTCGTGGGAATATAGAACAGATCAAAGTGAACATAAGAGTCCCATATCGTTTTACAATATTCGCAATAAATCTCGAGGTATTCATTAGAAAATATTGGTAAATAATTTCTATGGTAGATTAGTGGCGCCGTCCGCCGTTTTATATTTTAAATGTTAAGCCGAACAGAACAAAAATATTCTCTATCATTTTGCAAGTAACCACATGGATTTTTAGATATTAATTAGAGAAGATTATTGCACACAAACAAATAATGATTTTGTCATTAATAGTAATTGAAAATTTACGTGATTATTTGCGCAAAATAATAAAGAACTTTTGTTTTACTTAATGTACAAACATACGATGGCACACATCTTTATCACAATCCATCTGCCATATCGCGCGTAAACATTCACCAATCTTCAATAATTGGTAAAATATTAATTCAATAATTAGTATTCTAATACATCCTGCATCGTATTAGTACAATCAAAATATTTATCTCGATTTCTCATAGAGGACGTCGCATACATGCAATATATTGGGAACAATTTTAATATATGTGGTATCTATGTATTTACTATATAATTTTTTATATATTGTAGTGTAAAAATGCGATACTTTTATATTGTGATTATTTGATGAATAGTCTGCTTCTAAAGAGTACAATACAACTGAATTCGTCTTTAAGATTGAAGCAAATGCCCTTTTGATTAACTTATTACATTATATTCTCCATCATCACAATTTGTGTCTCCACCAATTGATAAACGCGCACGTAGTACACGTACCAACCTAGCCATCTAATGATGATAAGATCATCCGTATCACGACGTAAAATCTTCGCTCATATCATTAATGTCATCAACATATCATTAATGTTCTCTGAGTCGAAATTTTAGCACAATCTTAGATCTGAACTACTTCCTAACTTCTGTATTTGAAGGATCTGAAGGATCGACGTATGCTTCTTTTATGAAAAATTATTTTCAATTTTTTAAAATTACTTAAAATAATTTAAAGTAAATAAGATGGTTATGAATTGTGGTCAGTGGTTTAGAGCAGTCACCCGGCCAGCGAAAGATCAAGGTTAATATTTCGAAATTTTACATGGTTGTTTGAAAAATGACTTATGCAATTTTTGTTTACTTTTATGTGTTCTACTTATATTTTTCTTTTGGTCCGTCTTACGCGGGACACCCTGTATAGCATTTCATATTCTTTAATTGACTTTGGTTTGTGCGTGTTTTATTAAAATAATATGTTTATAAATGAATTAATATTTCTATAAATAAAAGCTCTGTCATTTTGTTTGATAAAAACTATTCTGATAATCTATTTGATAATAAAGCGATATTATTTGAAACAAAATATCCTAAAAGCTTTAAGAATTTTTTATTATTGAATAAATTGTTTTACACCACTTTTTGTTTAGATTAATAATAATAATATTTCGTTGAAAATCTGAAAGTAGTGATATAATTACTAGCACACTAATATTCATTATACTCACACAATAATTTGTCTCATATCTAATTTTGATCCATCATTTCAATGTTTGCGAGTAAATATATTATAATGATCTGTGAGTACTATAACAGTACACTATATAAGTCCTAAGAATTTCGCTGAAACAAATAAGGTCGTCACGTGCCGCTCGATCATCAAAATTAAAGAACGTTAACGTTGTCAGAACATGTATAGCTGATCGCTTTATATAAAAAAGTTTATATTAACAGATTAGTTCGTTTAAAGTGACCTCTATAGTACATTACCGAAATACTTATAATTTTGTCCAAAATTACAATAAATTTAGTAAAGTATTTTTATTGATAAAATTTGTAGCATATTTTAAATCTTTTAACAAGATTTTCTTAAGGAATGTATCTTATTGTTTCCCTACACTAATGAATATTTCGGTAATTATGTATAATATGGCCTTTTTCGAATTTTTTTATAGCTCTTTTGGTAAAAATATTTATTTTGACTCCAACATTGATAATCAATCGGGGGAGTCCGAAAAATATGCAAGTTATATATTGTTTTAACTTTTTTTAACTTTTTTTCACTTGACAAACGTTGCTGTTTCCTCACAATACAAACAAGTTACTGATCTTTTAATCACATTATGTAACTGCAATGTCGAACGACTAGCAAGAGACTGCGCCTCCACAACCGCCTTTAAAACTAACCTAACTCAACCTATCGTCACATTAACCGTCAGTCATTGTTTATTAAAAAATTATTAAAAAAAGAAGTTAGACACTTTAATAAACCATGACTGACGGGTAATGTGGCGATAGGTTGGGTTACGTTCGTTTTTAGGAGGGGTGCGGGGGACGCAGTCCCATTTTAGTCGTTCGATATTGCAATACTTACTGTACCAGTACATAAAAAACAATTCCACGAACAGACTTTTCGTTGCAATGACAGGTTTCCTAATCTATCATACATAGCATTTTTAACAATTAATTTCTCGGTTTGTAGAGTCGAGAGACGATTTTAACTTTCAGATTCGGCTTCTACGCATCGAAGTACATAAGATAGGTGAATATCAGCGACATCCAAGGTCAGTAACTTGTTTAAATTATTGGAAATCAGCAACGTTTGACAAGCGAAATATTAATGTGAAAAAAAAGTTAATATATAACTTGTATATTTTTCGGACTCTCCCGATTGATTATCAATGTTGGAGTTAAAATAAATATTTTTACCAAAAGACCTGCAAAAATATATCAAAATTCGAAAAAGGTCTTATTGTACATAATTACCAATATTTCTAGTTCGTCATAACGGTAGATACAACTTATCTTGTCAACAACATTTTCGATACAAACATATTTGTACTCGATATTAGTGTCCCTTGTATTATTACTGATCAAATATCTATATATAATCGGTATAAATATTTCTGTTACACTCTGTGAGTTGTCGAGTTTGAAATTGTCGCATTATTTTGAAGTAAATACTTCAAACAAAATAATCATAAACGATAATTACTAAGACGTATCGTGATGTATTCACAGAAAGTAATAACTTTTAAAGGACCATACACAGAAGACAAATATAATCAGTTTTTCAACCCAAACATTTGTCATGTTTGCAAACTGCTCAGCAGCAACTTAATAACATGTAATCGATGTTATATGATTTCTTATTGTTCCGAAAAGCACCAGGAAATACATAAGTATTCACATTTGGAGATTTGCAGAGTTTTAGCAATTTTAATAACAGACAAATCGCTTCGGGACAGATATTATATCTCGGAGGAATGGATAGAATCACGGAAGGATATTTTTCCTAAAATACTGGCTATTCTATCACGTTGTACATACCGGTACGAAACAGAGATGATTATATGCGCAAAATCATGTTATATGTGTCACCAACAAGTAAACATCAAGCCCTGCAACGTTTGTTACTCAGCCAATTTTTGTGATGATCATCGAAAATATTTTAAACTAAAACACAAGGATTACTGCATTGAGCTACTGCTTTTTTTGAACATAAATATAGAATATATTAACGTCCAAATGGGACATGTATGTCCACTACAGTTCACCAAATTTCCCGGTGAGAAACCTTATCATGATATTATTGCATTTATTGATAATTATGCACCCAGAATAAGTTTGAATAATCTTGCAATGAAATTAAACTCCAATATTTTAACTCCTCACTGGGAATTTAAACAATATGTATTTTCTGATCTTGTATCCGGTCCGCTGACATTATATTACGCGTTACAGGAAACAAACTTATTATCTCTTATATGCACTGCAGGTAAATACGTTGTTCATATTATAGATGCAAATAGAATAGATGTAATGTATTTGAAAATTTGGCATATTCTCTTACATGTATTGAAAATAAGGGAACTGCATATTGTATTTATAAAATCGCCAATATTTGAATCGCGCGATCTAAAGTTTGTGTGTAGCAAGTGCCGTTACAAGGGGAAGAAACTTTCTGTTAAAAGTGTGTCAGAGACGTATTACGATTATGTATGCTTAGAATCATATGAGCAACCAAATGTGATCATGCTACCCGAAATAGAAGGTATTCTCGTAGGAACGTGGTTTGATTCCGTAACAACAATAATAGCGCAAGAGTGTCCGTTACTTTTAACCACCGATTCAGAAGATACAGCGCGAGATAATATAAATAAGATAGAAGAAGTAACAGGTGCAATCAGAAAACGATTGCACAGAAAAAATAAATTCCACGGTTGTACACCATATAGAGACTATGTAACTGGAGGACTTTATTACCGAAATGCACATTTTATTATGTATTCATGAATCTAAAGTGGGTATGACTAGCCCAGTCAAAGTGTGAAGATAACGTGTTATTTGATCTCATTTTTATCTTAGTATAATTGATGATACTCGCTTTTTAATAAAATTCGGGAATAAGTAATATATTTCTTACTGAGGCATATACTCAGACATAAATTAATAGTTTCTTATTTTTCCAGAATATATAAAACATGTTATATATGAAGTAATAGAATGTTTGCCACATACAAAGTATCTTACAATTTTACAAATTGTCGTACGTCATGCCGTAGTTATATGTATTATATGCAGATCATTCGATACTGAGTTGAGTGTAGTCAACTTGTAAATCTCTTCTTTATCGTCCGTGTTCTGCAGTTGATAGGTGATATGTAAAATTGTAACACATTTTATATACATTATATTCTCTATATTGTACTTTGTAATCAATATTCATAACTCGATACATCTACTTTTACATTTTACATTGTCAAAATATATATGAAAATACTGAAACACACCTGGAACTATTACCCGAGCATAAATATATCTAGTAGAGCAGATTTCAAGACTAGTAGTTAGATAGTAATGACTAGATAAGTTTTCTAGCCAGTCACTAGCTCGTGACTGGCTAAATATTCATTCTGGATTTACAGTACATTGCTACTAAACAGTTACTAGACAGCGTTTGATATTTAATTTCTATTCATGATTTACTGAATCTTCCATCTCGTCACTGTGTAGTTTTTTTCATCTAGACATTAGGTAAAAGGGCGTTGAGTAAACCGAATGTAGCTAACATAAAACGTTTACTACCGACTATAGTAGTGTTCTAGCAAGTAAAGTACCAGACTCAAGAGCCAGAGGTCTTCAGGTTCAAGTCCCGAAGTATAAAATAAATTTTTCTAATAGAATGGAAATAATAAGTAATGAAGAAAATTTACAGGAAACCAAACTCCATTGGATCACCTCTTCTAAAGAGAGAGAGAGAGAGAGAGACAAAGTGAAATTATCGAAGAAAAATAATTTTTTCGTTTTACTATCTATTCACTGTCTAGTGCAGGCTAGATAGTTACAAGTTATTATTTTGAATCTAGGTACTAGCTTATTTTTCTAGTACAGCCACTAGGAGAAGTGAGCGTTACATTTCTAGCTAATAGCTAGCAAGTACTACTAGCTAGTAGCGATGTAAGACCCAACTTTTCTGTGTCTTCACTAAACAATCACTAGATTCAATTTTTGCTCGGGTAGTGTCTTCCGAGATATCAACTATTATTTTTACCTAAATAAAATATATTCATCGCCGCCAGTGATATATAGATCTTTTAATAGAATACATTCATTAGTAAATATATATTATGTTTCTCTCTCCTGTTTCTGTAAAAGTGTAGGATATGTACATTTTGTTTCAATACGTTTTGAGCACTTTTTCGATCCATTCCTGAATATACCCAGTGATCTAATAAATGATAAAACTTAACTTTATGTAATTACTTAAAAATAAATTTTTTTATTGTGTAGATTGCCGACTATGTTCCAAAATTTATCCGAGAAAAATAGTTTATACTGTATTGAAATAGAGTATATATGTGATTGTATATTACTATCCGTTATACAGGGCGTCCCGCCACTACCGCATTATCTCTTAAGAAAGGATTCTTGAGGTAACTTGAAGAAAAAAATCCTAATGCAAAAATGTCGAGGCCATAATACTTTTTCAAATTACCAACAATTAAAGTTCCAACAAACCATTTCCAGTTAATATCGTATATAAGCGCGACTCCGCGCACCTCGGCCTCTTCTTACGCTCTTTTTACCTCACTTCTCTTGGACGTCACTTCTCTTGGACTTCTCTTACTCTTGTGCTTCTACTACCACTGAGGAAAAATCCAAGTACCCTAAGGGTTCAGCTACTCAACTCTCTGTGCTTATTGCTGTATTCATCGTGCGATCGTCCACAACCCTCACACACAAACACCAGGTTCTATCCAGACGAGGATCGAAAGGGACCCAACTGAGAAATCCAGCAACAGTTACTCTCTCCTCCAAATCGCACATCAACAGTAAGTTATAGTTTGTTACTCGTTTTCTTCAATATCAAAACTTTAACTCCGGGTAGCTCGCGTACAGTATTTGTCCCGGATTACGCACAGGTTCCTTCCTAGACTCCTAGAACTTTTCACTCTCTTTACCTCCCAATGATCCTGAACATTAGTGCTCACCCTCACCCAGAAGTCCACACACACACACACACACAAACACACACACACGCGCGTACTTTGTCTCCGTGCTAGTAATTAATAAAAATTGTAACAACCCCGCGAGGAAAATAAATGTAATCGTTAAGAATTATCTAAATTCCAATTCAAATTATATCACAATTTCTTTTCGAATCCTTCCCTTTTCCCCCTTCATTTCTCTTATCCGCTCTCGGTCCGTCCGCGATAAAGAGATTCAGTTCTCTGATCGAAAAAGGACCACTCGTCGTACGTCGGTACACGCGTAAAGCGATCCTTCTGGTCGTTGACTCGTAACTCGACTTGCTAGTACGATCGAGACCTTACGTCGTGTTGCGTTCTCTACCAGGACGTAATATCCAGACGTAACACTTACCTATCTGTATAAATTTATTTATGCATTTTATGTCAAATTTGTGTGTACAATAGGTACTTAATAATCATTTTCGTGAAAAAGATGTGATATCATAACAAACCTACCTTTTTCTTAAAAAAAAAAAAGGTAAAAAAGGCGCCAAGTGTATGCGCTTTCCCCATATAAATAAATATTATATAAAAGTTATTGGTAAAATTCTCATAAAAAGAAATGATATCAAACTGTTTATGCCAAGTGAAATTAATTTCATACACAATAAATATTGTTATAACCACTTTGTATGTTTGAACACTACCCGTCCGGAAACCTAATTTTAGGTTTTTGGCGATTCAAACTAATTTTATTGTATTTATGTATTTATTTATGTATATATATATATATATATATATATATATATATATATATAT